TCGTCGGCCGCAGGAACTGGAACTGGCGCAGCTGGCGCCTCGGCAGTCGTGGATGGGGCCGTTTCGGCAGCAGGCTGCGTCTCCGCAGCGAGAGGAGCTTGGGGCTTGTTGTCGGCCATGTTGATGATGGTGCTCTCTGTTGATGGATGGATCGATGAGAAACGACGGAAAAAAAAAAGGCAAATGGTACGATGGGATGACAGACCACCTGTTCTCAATCCAGTGAGTTTGAGCTTCCAAAGGCTCGAGACATCAGGGTCCGTGTGCGGGGCTGCTATTGGCCGGGTACCTTGCCCGCGGATGGGCCCGCCGGTAGTTGTCACATCACGTGGCTTAGCTCCGTACCTATCTACCTGCCTTACCTAAGTAGGCACCTATCTAAGGGACGTGCGAGCGATTGTTGGGCACACCTTCTGTTGGCAGCATCCTCCTGTCGATGCTTAGGAAGCAAGCTCGCGATGTCGGCAACAAGGCAGCAGCCAGACCCATCTTGTTGGCTTTGGCCTAATCATGGCGCACGGCAACACAGTCTACGGGCGTGCCAATCCTCGCGCGGCATGTCGGACATTGGCACGGACAGCGGCCCAACGAACACCAGCAAGTAGCAGCATGACAAGTGGGATGGCCAGCGTCTGCAAAGGGGGGAGGGGGAGGGGGAGGGGCAATCGAGCGGTGATGGCAGACGGCAACGATGCCTTCTCGCCCAAGACGCGACTCGGATCTCGCGCGCCTCGCATCACCTCCATCACATCACCCTCACAGGGCCCAGGACATCAAACGGTTGGATGTTGCGCCAAGTGACCTGACGCGACCCGCAAAAGGGAGTGGACGACGTTGTACCACCTGTCACCACTCATTCCCGTTGCCTCCCTGCTCCTTGCCCGCCACCAGTTGCCGGAAGCCCAGACCCAGCGGCCCGGCCGTCTCAACCCGCCATGCTGTGCCCTTTGCCTCGTGACCGATCTTGTTCCCGCGGGGCGGCGCGAGGACTGAGGCGGTACGACCTCATCGTGCGTGCTGCATGCAGCAGCCATGGAGGGCAGGTCAGAAGAGAGGAAGCGAGAAGGAAACGTGAGGGGCGGGCGAGACAGCATGGCGGGAATCAAGGCCCCAGCGAGCATGCCCGCGCGCGCGCGCCAGTGGATAGCAACGGTCAGGCACCTTCGGGCGCCGTTGCAGCGTGCGTCTCTTGGGTGTGTTTGGCAACTTTGGGCGTGGTGAGCGCGAGGAGGCGGCCGACGGCCAATCATGGGACCAGCCCTGAATGGTAAAGGGGGGGTGAGAGGCCTTTTCGAGCCCAGCAAAAAGGGGGTCAAACTGAGTTTGCGTCTGCCGTCAGCGGCATTGTGTGGACGCGATATGACGGAAGCAGAGTGAAGCTGCGAGACACGACGAGGGTTGAAGCCCAGATCAAGGCCCGATCTGCTATTCGGAGCATGGTGACGGGAGCAGAGACTCCAAGGTACCTACTAGGTACCTAGGTAAGGATGGTACCTAGGTAGGTAGGTGGGTAGAGAAAACGAAAAGGGAGGGTTGGCGGCGCCTCTAAAACCCAGCAGAGCTCCTCTTCCCCCCCCCCATGTCCGTCCATTCGTTCAGCTAAAGTCTTCAGTTCCTCCAACCCAAACCTCCGCCGCCTCTTCGTCGTCTATCTGGCTGCCTCTTTCACTGCCTCGTCCCGTCTCCTCTCCTTTTCGCACAAATTGTCATGAGCACGGAAAAGCTGTCGTCTTAGCCCCCCGCCATTCGCAATCCACTGTGGCTCCCTTCTCGAGGCCCCAGTGATCGGGAAAAGCTCAGAGGGCTTAGCGGATCTCTGTCATTGGCGTTAGTGGTCGCTCAGTGGGGACTAGTGCCACTTTTCCAGCGCCAGACGTCCTCTCGACTGCTCTCCCAAGGCGCCCGGCGACAGACCAGACAGCGTCCCCAGGCCTCCAGTGCCCTCCTGCCACCCGGCTTGGCCCCTTTCGGCCCCCCTCCTGCCCTGTCGAGCTGGGTCCTACTGCCTCCACCCGGGCCCAGCCTCCCGGCCCTCCTGGTCTGTTGTCCTACGCTACCTTAGGTAGGTACCGGGTACCTGCCCGCCTGCCTTCGACACCAAGCACTATAGGTACCTGCCCACCTGTCTCGACACCAGGCACTATAGGTACCTGCCCACCCCACCTGTCTCGACACCAGGCACTATAGGTACCCTCTGACCGCCCGACCTTTGTCTGCTCGGCGGGGTCTGAAGTGGGCTCCATCATCCAGCCTCCGCCCTCACTGACCGACTCTTCTTCTCCCCCCCCCCCCTTCTTCAACCGCATTTGTCCGCGCGACCCCAAACCAAAGCTCGTCCGTGGACGGATCGACAGCTCCCTCTCCCGGCGAGAGGTCGAGATCAATACTTCACCATTGTCGTTCGTCGTTGCCGACGCCAGAATCAGACTCAGACACACTCAGAACACGACAATCGAAACGGCCGCCCGCCATCATGGCCATCACCGAGACGGTCACCATCATCAACAACTCTGGCAAGATCATCAGCACCGTACGAACACCCCCCCCCCCCTCTCTTCATCCCTAAAACCTCCACCTGCCCCGCCCACCGCCTGCATCGCACTACCTGCCTACACTTTCAACATACCTTACACCACGGCCAACCGCACGGCATGGCACTGCACTGCACTGCACCGTCTTTTCCATGTCTCTGCTGCATACGCACTGCAACTGTCGTATTGGGACATCTCAGATCTGACACGCATGTATAGGGCAAGCAGCTGTTTGGCGTCTTCAAGGAGGCCAAAGCCTGCTACCAGGAGAAGAAGGCCGCCATCAAGGCCGACAAGGCCTTTATCAAGCGCGCCCAGACCTTTGATGTCGCCCGCGATATTCACGCCCAAGCGCCCCCGCCGCCTCCTTCCGCCCACAGCCGCGCCTACGTCTACGACGATTATGTCGAATATCAGGAGGACGCCCGCTCTCGTGCCTCGCACAGGAGCCACCGCACCTCTCGAACGAAGCGCTCCCAGTCGCAGACCTCACGACGGACCCGTGGCGATGTCGAATACCATGCTCGTCCCGCCCTGACGGCGAGCAACCTCAAGACGCACTCCGAAGTCTCGAGCGTGGCCCCCTCGCGCGTGCCGCGAACAATCGACTACCGATCTCCCTACGCAGAGACGGCCCCGCGCGACATGGCCCTGAGCCGACCGACATTGCACCATTACACAACAGCCCCTACCGCCACCGAGTCTCTCGCCGATTCGACGACAATCCGCGGCATTCCGGCGCCCAGCATCCGGGCCGCCCCAGCCCCTCCTGAGCCCGGCCATCTGGCGCGCGCGGCAACCTTTGACGTGGCCCCGCGCCGAAAAGAGAAGGAGATTGACATGAACCTGGCGTATGGCAACATCCCGCCCGACCTCGAGTCTCGCACCGATCTTGACCCGGCCTACAAGGAGGCGGAAGCCAAGACGCTCATCGGCCGTGTCGAGTCCCTCCTCGACGAGGCCGAGTGCGTCGGGTACTCTGCCACCACCATGATCAAGCGCCTGCAGGCCGATCCCAATGCCGCCGCCGCCGTGGCCCTGTCGCTTGCTGAGTTGTCGAAACTGCTCAAGACGATGAGCCCCGCCTTTCTCGGCCTCCTCAAGGGAGGGTCGCCGGCCGTCTTTGCGCTGCTGGCGTCTCCCCAGTTCCTCATTGCGGCAGGCGCGGCTGTGGGTATGACGGTCGTCATGTTCGGCGGATGGAAGATTGTCAAGCAGATCAAGGATGCCCAGGCGCAGAAAGAAGCCATGGCCCGCCGAGCCATGGCTTTCGAGGCCTTGCCAGAACCTGCGCCGCAAGTCTACGCCCCTTCCCAGCATGCACCCTGAGATGATGGGAGCCGAGATGCCCGGGGTGGCGGATGCGGCGGCAGCCAGGGCAGCTACGATGAGGCTCTCGTTCTGGAGGAAGAGCTCAGCACGATCGAGTCGTGGAGGCGTGGCATCGCGCCGTTTGGCGAGGATGACAGCGCAGATTTCGAGCTCATCAGTCCCGAGGCCGAGCGCGCGCTACGCAAGCAGCGACGCGCCGAGGAGAGGGAGGATGACGACATGGTCTCGAGGTCGGGTCGGTCGGAGCGGAGCTCGCGCACACACCGCAGCTCCAGGACGACCAAGACGACCAAGACGACCAAGACGCACAGGTCGCACCACAGCCGGAAGCCCGAGAGCGAGGCTCCCGATCGGAGGAGTACTGCGCTCACGGTCAAAGATGACGAGAGCGTCGCGGGCAGCCAGCGGAGCCACCGGTCGACGCGGTCGAAACGGAGCGAGAGGACGGCCGTGCTCGCCATTGAGCCGGCGCCGGCTGCGGGGTCCGACAATGGGCTGGAGCACGTGCTTCGGCCGAAGAAGGACAGCATGCTCAAGTCGTTGTTCAAGAAGAAGGAGAAGGATGGACGGCTCGAGAGCAGGGAGAAGGTGTCTGCCGTTGTGTTTTGATCTCGCCTGGACGCAGCGGCGAGGGGACGACGTAATGATGGAACGATCGAGACCAGATTTTGTTTTGCAAGCATGACAAGCATATATACCATGATATTTGAGAGGAGCCTACATTAGCATTTGCCAGACAATTCACGTCTTGGGTGCTTTATCATTTGTTGAGGCTCGACTACGACGTTTGGCCGTGTAAATTGTCTTTTTTGCCGGATTCGATTTTCGTGCTGCAAATGGCAGTCACTTTCATGCCCTGAGAAACATCACTTGTCCCGTGGCCGGGCCCATGGTCAAAGACATGGTCAAAGCACAACGCTCCTCATTGTTGCCGTGGTATCTGGAACAGTCGCACCCAACTATCCTGCTCGAATCAAAAGAAGTCCCTGTGCGTCTGCTCCTCGTCACGCCAGCCCAAATTTCAAACGCCGCGAATCTTGCCCCTATGTACACCATGCAGCCCTGCCGCGTCTCTGTCCGGCAGGGCAGACAGAGGAGGGCTACGCCCAGTTCTCCGGGCTGATGCCGATGTTGCCAATGCTCCAGCGGTCGAGGTCGACGCTGCCCTCCTCCTCGCGCTCCTTCTCGTCAATGGGGCGGGCAAACTCGGTGAGGAAGCGCAGCATCCAGCGGTCCATGCGGTAGGTGTGGTCCGTGCTCTTGCGGCACAGCTCGTGGAACGTCTTGAGGCGGGCAAAGCAGACCTCGAGGGCGGGCCAGTACTGGCGCAGGGTGACGAGCGAGTTGAAGTTGCGCTCGAGCTGGGCGCGGGCGGCGGCGACCTCGGCCTCGTCCGTCTCGAAGAGGAGCGTGTGGATGAAGACGGAGGACGTGACGACGATGATGTGGCCGAGCATGTTGAAGAAGCAGTCGCAGCCGGGCGTCGTGTTGGCGAGGTCGATGATGCGCGACAGCGACGCCGCGTTGGACTTGCACTTGCGCGCGAACGCCTGCGCCGTCAGGGACGCCGGGAACCGCTGCTGCTCGTCGAGGTACTGGTAGAAGAGCAGCTGCGAAAAGTGGTAGTGGCTCACGTGCACGGCGATGAAGATGCGCCCCTGGCCCTGCGACGCGAACGCGTGCAGGTTCGACGGCGTGTCGCGGATGCTCGGCGGCAGTGCCACCTCCCAGGCCTCGAGCTCCTGCGACAGGCTCGACACGGTCTCGTCGATGCTCGTGACCGACGCGTCCGACGTCAGCGTCTTGATGGCGTCGTTGACCTTCATGAGGATGCTGTTGAGCTTGATGTTCTGCGCGATCAGCGAGTCCTCGCGGTTCGGCGACAGGATAAAGTCAAAGTGGTTGCTGCTCGCGCGGCTCATGTTGAGAAACGTCGACTCATTCATCGGCAGCGGCACGTCGTGCCGTCGGTTCATCAGCAGCGGCAGGTTGACGCCCGTCGACGACCACACGTCGATCATGCAGAGGGACCAGTAGACTGTGGGTGGCCGGGATTTCAGCTTAGCAGGGGAACAGGCCAAAAGGACAGGATCGGCAACTGCCTACCTCGGATGTGGATCTCGCGCTGCAGCGGGTCCGGCGTCGGCATGTTCGGCAGGTCGAGAAAGTTGGCGATGCGGCAGGCGGCAGCGTAGTAGACCGTCTCGGCGCCGGCCTCGCCCTCGACGATGCTCACAGCGCCCAGCAGGACGCACGCCTGGCTCGTCGTCAGTGACACGTCGCGCAGGTTCAGCAGCAGGTTGCACTCGGTGGCAAAGTGCTCGCCGCGGGCCATGGGCGGGATGCCACTAAAGGCGTGGTTCGACGAGAAGCGCGCCGACAGGGCCATCATGCCGTAGACGAGGACCAGGGGCGCCGTGCCCTCGTGAAGGTCGAGCATGAAGCTCGGGCGGTGGAAGAGCGAGTGCAGCTGGTCGTGGATGTACTTGAAGTACAGCTCGACCAGCTCAAAGCAGAGGGCCTTGTCCTGGACGGCGGCGGCCGGCGCGATGCCCATGATCTGGGGTGACGCGTTTGTCGTCGCCGCCGCCGCTCCTGTCGTCAGGGTCATGGTTGTCGCCGTCGTCGTCGTCGTCGGGCTCATGACGTGGCCCATGTCACGGGTCATGGTCATGTCCATGGACACGACTGCTGGTGGCACGGGGCTTGTGGGTGACTTTTTGGGCTGGATGATGGAGCCGGCGCGCGAGCAGGCGAGGTTCTGGGCGCTGCAGTAGGCGCACTGGCCGCCGGGGATGGGAACTTCGCATTTCCGCCTTCGAGCTCTGTATTGTGTGTCAATGGGTGGTCTGTTATGTATGAAGATCATGTGCTCTGGCTGTGATGCCCATAGGCAAGCAGGGTCCTCGTCGCAGGAGGGGAGTTGATCTCATGGCCTCCAGGGGGGACTCGATCTCATGATCTCAGGGATGGAGAGTCCATTCAATTTGCGTACAGGAGATGGAGAAATATAGTCCAGTCACTCACCGACAGGCCGAGCATGCTGTTGAGTACCTCATCTCTTGGGTCGAGTGTGCGGCATGTTACCGCAGATATTTGATGAGGGCCTGGCAAGGAGGCGATGAGGCTGGCGGCGACAAGCCAGAAGGCGGAGGAGGGGTCCTTGCGCGAGTGGCATGAGGCGGAAGGAGCAGGCGAGGAAACGCGGAGGTCAGATGGCAATGTCCGTCGCGGGGAAGGAGTGAAGGAGTGGCGTAGACGCGTTGTGAGTGGCCAGACGTCAAGAACTGTGGGTTGGCTGGGGCCCCGCCTCAGCGTGCCTCTAGGGTCTTTCGGTTAAATGGCCTGCCTAGGTACCTCCAGGCACAGGTACCTCTAGGCACAGGTACCTCTAGGCATAGGTACCTGGGTAGGCACCTGTAGGCAGGTACAGTAGATGGCCTCGCAGCCTGTCGTGGCTTGGGCCGATGCACCTAAGCTCCATCGGAGTCGGGAGCCTCACTCCGATGGGCTGCCAGCTGGTGATGGCTGTGAGTGGCTGCCGTAGAATGCTAGACTCTGGTCATGATGAAGCCGGAAGTTGATTGTTGTGCCTGACATGGGGTTGTCAGTACTGAGTAATCAATACCGTACTACCATGATTGCTTTGAACGGCCAGGTGTCTCATGTTTGGGCAGCCATATGAAATGACACGTCGGCTGACTCTCGAGCGACTTGTGCCTGCGTCATGGGCCAGATCGCAAGGAACTCATTGTCGTTGCTGAGACACCCGATGGGATGGAGCACCTTCAACGGTATCTTGACGAAACAGAAACGAAAGAGCGGCCGCAGATTAGACAGTTGAAGAGCCAACTTGGCTGATCCTTCTTTTTCCCACCGCCATGTCAACACTGGTTGCTCTGAAGACGGAAGAGTGAAGACGAAGAGAAGGAAGACGAACACGCCGAAACTCTACCCCTCATGATGGACTTCCAACTTGAAAGGCTGCCAGCTCTACACCCTCCGAACCTCATCCTCGACACTACGATGTCAGGGCCAACCCATCCTTAAGTACTTTCGCCGTGCTTTCCTCCCTCCTCCTCCGGCGCCAGTCCAGGTGATCCAAACCCGCTAGCGGCGCGGGCTATATCCGAGAGATCGTGAATGGGCAGACAAAGGCCGATGCGACACACTCCTGAGGTGCAGCTCACGCCGAAAGTGGTGATGCCTCAAAGCCTGTATGGCGGTTTTGCATCGTGCTGATTGGTGCGTCCCGAGTCAAGCCGCGACCCCCGTCCGGCAATGTCTGCTACGCCTGGCACGCGCCGTCCCGTCGCTCTGTCTATGGAGCTTGGATGGAAGGCTACGGTGCTGCTGCTTCCTCGGATGGAGTCTGTGTGATGCAGAACGATCTGGGTCAAGTGATGGAACACGGCACCAGGTGAGCCCTGTGATGCCTCTAGGTAAGCATCAGGAGATGGTGTTCGTGCGTTTGATTGGGACGTGTCGTATGGATGAACGATCCAATCACAAGACCCTGTCTCCTCACTGTACCACGTGCCGTTGCACCTGCCATACGTGATCCGTCTCGCCTCACCGCCTGCCTCATTGCAGCCATCTGCCTCTGCCTCAACCTTCGCTGCCTGTCTCCCTGGTCGTGCTTCTCAACGCAGTCGGGACCAGCAGCAGTCTATTCTATCTTGACCACCTCGGAGACGTGGTCAAACGACTCCGTTAAGTGTCTCGAGCTTAACTTCCACCAGCTCTATTACCTGTGGGCACCCTATCGAATGGCATCCCGATAGGTCTGGTCGGTGCACCTCGCAGCCTTTGGAGGCATCCTGCCGAACCCCGCCTCTCTCTTCACTCATCGGAACCTCATCATCCTTTCATCCGCCCAAGCTCTCCCGCGAAATGGCCTCGTCTTCTCAAAGCCGAGAATATGGGGCACTTCCCCGACCTTCCGACTCATCCTCGCGGCCCTCACTGGATCAGGACGAGCCCCAACACCCCCACGAAGCTGTCGCCTTGTTGTCAGGCACAGTATCGCCTGTTTCCGACGACGGCAGCCGTGGCATTCTCGGTGGCAGGTCTCGCCACGGTCACTTGGAAGACTCTGACGATGGCCCTTACACGACGGAACGCCAAGCCCGCCAGGCCATGGCGGCTGAGCATGCTCTGACGCCGTGGCAAGCCATCAAGATGTATCCCATGGCTATCTTTTGGAGCCTGATGGTGTCCATGTGTGTCATTATGGAAGGTATGCTCTGTCTGTCTGTCTGTCTCTCCGGTCATGCTGTCTTGCTGACCAACCCCAGGCTACGATGCCATCCTCATCGGGAACTTCTTCGCTTATCCCGCCTTTGCGGAAAAGTATGGCCAATATGTCGACGACAAGGGACAGCATCAGCTCTCTGCGGCGTGGCAGGCTACCCTGGGCAACGCCAGTACAGTCGGATGTTTCATCGGCGTTACTGTCAACGGCTTCCTTGTCGACCGGTACGGCCAGAAGCGCGTCATTGTCAGCGCCCTCGGCGCCCTCTCGCTCTTCGTCTGCATGACCTTCTTCGCCGATAGGATCCTGGTCCTCATGTTTGGGCAGCTTCTCTGCGGCATCCCGTGGGGTATCTTCGCTTCGTCTGCGCCCGCTTATGCGTCTGAAGTGCTGCCAATGTGTTTGCGCGCATACCTGACGTCCTGGACCAACATGTGCTTCATCATTGGACAGTTGATCGCAGCCGGTGTCCTGGCCACGCTCGTGTCGCGGACCGACGAGTGGGCGTACCGTATCCCTTTTGCTATCCAGTGGGTGTGGCCGGCTTTCCTGATTCCCATCCTAGTCTTCGCCCCCGAATCGCCCTGGCATCTCGTCCGCCAGGGACGTCTCGACGAGGCCGAAGAGTCCCTCCACCGGCTGCAGAAGAAGTCGGCATCGCGATCACACGTCAAGGCCATCCTCGCGGGCATCATCCGCACCAACAAGCTCGAGATGGAAATCACCGCCGGTACCAGCTACTGGGACTGCTTCCGCGGGATCGAGCGACGCCGCACCGAAATCGCCTGCCTCGCGTTTGCCGGCCAGGTCCTCTCTGGATCTGCTTTCGCCTACAACTCAACGTATTTCTTCCAGCAAGTCGGCGTCTCGACCGAGTGGACCTACAAGCTCAACATTGGAGGCACGGCCATGGCCCTCGTCGGCACATTCGTTAACTGGTTCGCCCTGATGCCGTATTACGGCCGCCGACAAATCTACCTCCGCGGCCTGTCGACCATGTGCGGTGTCCTCCTGCTGATCGGCGTCCTCAACGTGTGGACGTCGGCAAAGGCCGTCGGCATCGCCCAGGCGATCCTCACCCTGCTCTGGACCTTCGTCTTCCAGCTGTCCGTCGGCCAGCTCGGCTGGTCCATCCCCTCCGAAGTGGGCTCCACGCGCCTGCGCCAGAAGACCATCTGCCTCGCGCGCAACGCCTACTACGTCGTGCTCGTCATGTCCAACGCCCTGCAGCCCTACTTTATGAACCCGCGCCAGCTGAACCTCAAGGGCTACGCGGGTTTCTTCTGGGGGACCACCGCCGCGCTGACCTTTCTGTGGGCCTTCTTGCGGCTGCCGGAGACCAAGGGCCCGCACGTACGAGGAGCTCGACTGGCTGTTTGCGCAGAACACGCCCACGCGGGCGTTTGCCGGGACGGAGGTCAAGGGGCTGGGTCCGGAGGACAAAGTTGCATTTGCCGCCGGTGCATTGATGGTATGGCGTTGTTTCGGCAGACGCGGCGAGATGGGTGCGGCATGGTTAGGGAGATGACTGCACGTTCATGATGACGAAGATAGACCAGCGATGCAGAATTAATGACACTTACATTCACCCGTTACGTCCAACATCATGACTTAACGCAGTCATTTGGAATTGAAGAGCACCCGATCGACAAGGGTCGTGGCTAATGACCCCAAACAAATAAATACTACGAGGCTTGATCATCCTACACAGCTTCATAAAAACACTTCGGGATCCCGACATAAATCATGCTCATCAGAAAAAAGTCCAGAACGAAAAGACGCAACATGACCGAGGAAAATGCACCACACATCATCAGACTACTCGAGGAGCAGCTCGTACGAAAAGTCCTCCGACCTCAGCTCGTACTGCGGCAGCGTCGCCGGCCCGCACGACCCCGTCCCCAGCCCGTGATGCGCCCAGTCGAGCCTCACGATCGTGTCGTCCCGCCGCCGCTTGTGCAGCTCATACGGGTGCTGGCACTCGTCCAGATCCGCCGTCGTGTAGTGCATGGCCGAGAAGGAAGCACCCTCGAGGTCGCCGAACCGCGCCGTGAGCAGCGTGCCAGGATCGCCGCCGCCGCCGCCGCCGTCGCCGCTGAGCAGCTGCTTGAACTTGACCCAGCGGACGTCCGTCCTGTTGCCGCCGTCCTGGGGAAACTCATAGTCGGTGAAAAGGGCGTCGACGCCGCGCCGCCACGTGCCGAAGCGCTGGCTCATCTTCTTGTCGCGGTAGCTCTCGCCCGGGCCGCGGCCGAACCACTCGACCTCGTCGACGCCGGCGAGGCCGAGCGTCAGGCCGATGCGCGCAAAGGTGCCCGGCAGGCGCAGCCCGCGCGGCGTGCCCTTGATCTTGATGTGGCACCCCTCGCCGCGGAAGGAAAAGGTCGTCGTCGTGTCGACGCCCCAGGCGAGCACGGGGGGCGCGATGCGCGCGTGCACCGTCACTTCGAGGCTGCGCTTTGTCTCGCGCCACTCGGCGCTGCGCACATGGGCGTGGGTCTGGTGGAGGCGGCGGTCTCGCCACTCCCAGCCGAAGCGGCCGCCGCGGTCGTTGTCGGTGAGGGCGCGGTAGAAGTCGAGCGTGAGGGGGGAGGTGAGCAGGTTGAGCTTGGGCTGGTCGCCGCGCGTGACGCTCGTCAGCGTGCCTTCGTGGAGGTCGAACCCCCACGTTTTCAAGCCGCTGCTCGAGGTGATCGAGAGAAAATGGGAAGACTCTTGCGTTATCGTGGGGAGACGAGTGGTGTTTGGCTCCATGCCTAGATGGTGCAGGCTCGCCGTCAGGCTGTCCGGCTGGCCAATTTGAATGTCGCCCCATGCAACCTCGTGGCCAGCAGGTGCCCAGGCCGTGCGCTCCTTCAAGCTGAACCTCAAGTTCAAGAAGGCTTCTTTTCCTGCAGCGACGTAAAAGTCACTTGGGCGCGGAATCGTGATCTTCGCCTTTGTGTGTGGTTTCACGCCTGGAGTTGTCAGTACAACCGCTACAAGTCGGCGTTGATGGACCGACCTTTTGGAATGACAATCGAGATCTCTGCAAAGCGACGATCCTCGGTGAGAAAGTGGGCGTGGCACGTTAAATGATCCAAAGTGAGGAAATCGTATCGGTTGATCACGGTAACCTCGTCGCCGTCGAGTCCCAGTACCTGCACAGGCTCGATGGCCTTTTTGTACTCGACAAGACCCGGAGTCGGCGTATGATCGGAGAAACATAGCCCGTCCATGACAAAGTTCTTGTCGTTGGGGTCGTCTCCAAAGTCACCGCCATACGCCATGTACTCTTCGCCATCTTTCGTCTTCGTGCGCAGACCCTACAAAGGGGTCAGCTCGGCCTTTCTCAGATATGGCGGTCGACTTACATGATTGGCCCACTCCCAAACGAATCCTCCCATGAGCCTAGGGTACCGGTAGAACGCCTCAACGTACTCTCGGATGGCTCCCGGGCCGTTGCCCATGGCATGGATGTACTCGCACAAAACCAAGGGCTTCTCCCAGTCCTTGTCTCTCGCCGCGTTGATGACGCTCTCGACCGAGGAGTACATCCGGCTGTAAATGTCCACTGTCCGCGCTCCGTAGTCCGCTTCGTAATGGACAAGGCGCGTCGTGTCAACGCTTTTAATGAAGTCATACATGGACTGGTGGTTCCGTCCGTAGAACGCCTCGTTCCCCAGCGACCAGATGATCACGCACGCGTGGTTCTTGTCGCGCAACACCATCTGACGCGCCCTGTCTACGTAGGCATCCTTCCAGTCAGGGTTGTCAGACGTAAACTTGGACGCGTCGCCGCCGACGGAAGCAAAGCCGTGGCATTCAAGGTCCGCTTCGTTGAGGATCCACAATCCCAGCTGATCGTACAGCTGGATCATTGATGTATGTGACGTACGAATGGCATTATGTGTACTCTTCATCTGCAGAGATCGCGCTTGAGAAACTCGTACGGCACAGCCCGTCGGAGTCGGGGTGATGCTCGTGACGGTTAACGCCCTGAGCTTGATCGGTTTCGCCGTTGACGCAAAAGACGCCATCAATGAGTTCAGTTCTGCGGAAGCCGACACGCTGCGGGATGACGCAGCCGGGGAAGCCGAGCAAGAGCGTGTACAAATATGGTGTCTCGGCCGTCCACTTGTGTGGGTTCTTGACTGGTAATTCAAACGTGAGGTCGGTGGTGCCCTGCGCCTGCGTCGCGCCATGGTGGGTTTCCCCGAACACTGGCTCGCCGTCGGCGTCGAGAAGCCTCAACGAGACAAAGGTAAACTCGCTCGTAGTGACGCCAACTTTGAGGACGGCATTCTTGTAATCGTCATCGAGGAGCGTCTGGATGTGGATATCGTGCGGACTGAACCGCTCAAAGGCATGCAGGTAGACGTCTCTAAATATGCCACTGAGCCACCACTGGTCCTGGTCCTCAATGTAGGTGCCGTCGCAACGCTGGTAGACCTCGACGGCGAGAGTGGCGGAGCGCCCAGCCGTGACGAGTCTGGATATGTCGAACTCGCTGGGATTACGCGATCCTTGCGAATAGCCGACCTTGTGGCCGTTGACCCAAACGGTAAAGGCAGAGTCGACGCCCTCAAACCTCAACCGCAACTGATGGTCCTTGAAGGAATGAGGAACCTTGAAAGTCGTCAGGTGCCTGCCGCACTCGTTATCAGTGTAGGAGACGTTTGGCGGGTCCACAGGGAAGGGAAAGTTGTAGTTGGTGTACTGGGGACCTTTCCCAAAGCCCTGGCATTGCCACATGCCAGGGACGGCGATATTACTCCACTGATGCTCGGCAGCATTGTGGTCGTACCCAGCCTCCCAGAAGTTGCGTGGGCCATCGAAGGGTGAGGTTGACAGGTGAAACTTCCAGGTTCCTGACAGGCAGATGGCCTTGGCCTTGCTGACATCCCACGTCAGAGCGTCCTTCTCGTTCGGATAGGTGAAGAAGCTGCTTCGTGGGGCCAGGGTATTGTGGTGGAGAACCTTGAGGTTGTTCCAGTCCGGGGTTGCGACGGGGAGATGGTGTCCAGGTCGGCTGAAAGCGGGAGGAGCCAAGCTCTCGTCTGGGACATCACTTGAAGCACTGCTCTGGCTGCTTGGCGTATTGGCTCTCACTTGGACGTCAAAGTGCAGGACGGCGTCCTCGTCAATGGTAGGTTCGGTGCCATGCTGAGCTGACATGGTCAACGCTTGATCGAGATTCGCGAAGAGGCGCAAGGGCTTTGCCCGACTGAGATGACACTTGCGGATGTACAACACGGGCCGTCGGGTGTAATGGCCTTGGAAGGAAATGAGCTAGAGCTTGGAACTCGGAATGAAATAAGCAGGATAATGATACAACCAAGGCAAGGATGAACCAAGCAAATCATGTAGCGTATAGCGTGTCACAGGATACAAGGACGAGATCTGATCATGGCACAATATCACGAGGGGTACATGGAAGAAGCCCCTGCCGAGGTGACGCCTCGTGAGGGACGAGCCAGAGGCAGGCACGACCTGGAGAAAGGCGGGGATGCGGGGAAGCCACGTGACTGGACGAGTGTCGGGATTCAATCGTCATGATTGGCTCGGCAGTTCAGGATCTCGGAGAAGGCGCTGACATAATGCATCACCGCCCGAAGGTTCCACTTCACTCTGGGCGAAACGGCTGCCGACTCAGAAGTGAGGTAGCCCGGAAGGTGACGCCCTGGTCCCTGCCCCGTCTGGTCCTTCCATCTCGGCCTTCCCTTCGAGTCCCTGAGAAGGGCCAAGGCCATCTTCTCTTGATCATCCATACCACACTCACGAACTCCCATGAGCGAGGCGAATATAGCATGGCCCCCCTCTCTTGTGTCTGGGCATCTCCAGAAGTGACAAGATCATCACCCTCGCACCGAGCGGGTTCAAAAACAGACTCGGAGTCAGTGCTACGTTCCCAAAACTTGCTGATCGGCTGTCTACCAAGACCCTCCAAGCCTTCGCCCACCCTTCGACCCGCACCATCTCGTGGCTCCATATCCACCCCATCGACCCCCTGAGAATCTGCCATTCTCGACTTGGCGCCGGCAGATCCCTTCTTTGTTAGGCACGCACGAATCCGAAGCCAGCGCTTGTCGCTTGTACCGGGAGCTTTCGCCCATAAGCCGGCCACTACTTCCGCCTTCATGACGCCTTGAACAGCATCCTACCGGAGGCTTGTCTTCCATCCTGGGAATGGCAGGTATCAGAGTAGATGAATGCCGGGGTAGCATGCCTGCTTCTTCGACAGGAGCCGCGTGTTGCCCACTCAATGTGTGGCGCCGACCCTGACGAAGGTTCTCCCTTCTTCATGGGGTCTATGCGGGAGCGCCGACGTGATGGCTCTTCGTGCATGAGTTTGCTCACGAGGTCTGGGGTGGCCCCGGTAGCAGCAGATTGTCATGGGTCCTCGTTGTTGAACCATTTATAACCCGCGATCGATCTCTTTGTCTGATCATCCCACTCTTCCTTGCTTCCCAGCATCAACCGGCTTGACGGACCTCGAACAGTCATGAAGTACCTTCAGCTTCTTCTCGCGGCCGCTGGCATGGCTCGCGCCGCCCTCGATTGGCAAAATGTCCGCATCGGAGGCGGTGGCGGCTTTGTGCCCAGCATCGTCTTCCATCCCAATGCCAAGGGTGTCGCGTACGCAAGGACTGACATTGGCGGAATCTATCGCTGGAACTCGGACGACTCGTGGACTCCCATCACCGACTACATTGCCCAGAATGACACCTGGTATGTTAACTTGTTCGTATGCGTCTTAGTCCGGAGGGGGACTGACTTTGCGCAGGAACAGATGGGGCATTGGTGCTCTGGCCGTCGACCCGTCCGACCCCGATGTCGTT